ATTAGCAGTGTTGGGCAAGTTACTTTGAAAAAATAATTAATTATAGTTACTAGTTACTTCTTCAAAAAAGTAACTGACTTAGTAACTGAGTTACCAGATTCTAAAAGTAATCAATTACTTGAAAAGTAACTATTGTGTTACTTTAAAAAACAGTTTAACGCTCTGGGGTCCAGGGTATTAATGTCCATTTTTGACTACTTTTGATGTTTCCTCCACATTTCACTTTAAAAACTGTTTATTTGTCTTGTTTGGTCTCATTGTTTTCAGCACAACCTCACGTGTCTGAATCTACAGTCATGTTTTAATTTTGACTGTATTAACACAATTGATCTAAAATCAGATAAAAAACATCAAATCAGAGTAGAAGAAGTTATATTTTTACTGTAACAACCACAAACATGTTTAATGATCATATTTCATAACTTTAAATGCAAATATAAATTGTCAATTTTAATTTATATGCACAAGTTTTGCGAACAACAAAGTTATTTGCAGCCATTTACCTTTTACCCTTTTTTAATAACCATTTCAAACTGTTTACAGAACAATCAGCTGTTCTTCAATAAGATGCCACAAATTATTTGTGCCACTCCAAATATTTCTGTCCACTATAAAGGAAACATCACAGCCTGATACCTGCAGGTCTGACAGCAGCAGGTGCGTCACTCCTGTTTCTACCTGGAGACAGCAGCCGCCTCATTGTTCTGACACACAACACAAAACTATCCACAACACACTAACTACACAAGACAGCACATTAACTACACAAGACAGCACATTAACTACACAAGACAACACACTAACTACACAAGACAGCACATTAACTACACAAGACAACACATTAACTACACAAGACAGCACATTAACTACACAAGACAGCACACTAACTACACAAGACAACACATTAACTACACAAGACAACACATTAACTACACAAGACAACACATTAACTACACAAGACAACACATTAACTACACAAGACAACACACTAACTACACAAGACAACACATTAACTACACAAGACAACACATTAACTACACAAGACAGCACATTAACTACACAAGACAGCACACTAACTACACAAGACAGCACACTAACTACACAAGACAACACACTAACTACACAAGACAACGCATTAACTACACAAGACAGCACATTAACTACACAAGACAGCACATTAACTACACAAGACAGCGCACTAACTACACAAGACAGCGCATTAACTACACAAGACAGCACATTAACTACACAAGACAACACATTAACTACACAAGACAGCACATTAACTACACAAGACAGCACATTAACTACACAAGACAACACATTAACTACACACACCAAACACGCTAAACGTCACAAATCTCTCTCTCTCTCTCTCTGTCACTCCTAAATCTTCCCCCTCTTCCTAAACAACCAAACGTCATGTTGCCATATCATTTTTTGATTGGTCGACATGGTGCATTTTTCCACCAACACCAGTTTTTTGTTGTGGTTTTTTTTGCTCATAAGCAGAGAGGTCTCGCTGCTGTCCTTAGACAGTAAACGTGACGAAACTATTGAGAAAAAACAGCGCGTATATCTTGTTTATCATGACTCTGGTTTTACTGGCCTATCAGCAAAGTTTATAAACTGGTATATGTCACCTTGTTGCTTTGTCTTGAAGTGGTCATGTGATTGACCACGACTACTTTATTCTTCCTCAGTCAAACAGCAGCACTCGTGCGATTGTTTTGCCCCCTGAGCTCCAGGTGTTGTGCCAAAAAGTGGTCGTCGGCCAGAAAGTGATCGCCGCCCGCGAGAGCGCAGCTGCTTAAAGCTGCAGCGCCCAGATTACTTACAGCTACTTCCTGCAACTGATACAAGATGCGGTAAACTGAACACAGCTTCAACCGTCTGTTTGTTGAAAAATAGTAACGGACTGCATTTTCTGTAACGGTGTTGTAACGATAGGGATAGTAATTAGTTAGATACGTCGTTACTAAAAAAGTAACGCCGTTACTTGTAACGCTGTTATTCCCATCACTGGTCATTTACAGGTATTTTTCTGTACTTCTTAACTATTGCAGTGCATTGTGGGAGCAAGAACCCCAAAAGGAGGGCAAAATAAGAGCAAGAGCAGACATTAGACTTTTTTAAGGCTTCATTTAGGTTTTAGACTCTGGAGTTGGAGAAGCTGCCTTCACATTTCTGTGGTAAATATTAAACTTTTAGATTTTTTTTATTAAGATAATGTTTTTCAAAACACTCAGTGATTTTGTTTAGAAAGAATTGTTAATTTATTTGTTAAATGGTGTCCACTGTATCCAGATAAGTCAGGAATATGTTGCTGACTTACTTTGAAAAGAGTTGTTATTTAGGTTTAACATGACATAAACTTTCCATTTTAGTTAATTATCTTTCGCTATGATACTCGGTTTGGCTTCCAGTGGCTGGAGCAGTTTTCATGAATACCATCTGGTCTTTAAGTCTGAGGTCATTTGCTGTTTCTCCATCCAAACTCCGCTTCTGGTCCCAACATCAAACGATCACTGAGAGTTAAAAACTGTCTAAATTCTTTCATCTTTAATGAAATGATCAGTGTAACAATTAAGTTTAACATCCATGAAAACAGACTTTATGAAGTTTAACGGATTTAGAAGATAGCAGGAAGTTGATATAGCATGATATAGCACAGTGAAGCTGGAGGATGAACGCTAACTTTTTTCCACTCAATAAAAGTTAACATGAGGGTTCCTGATGGTTAGAGACAAATGCAATCACATGGCAGGATGCTGTAAACTTCAGCCAGGAGAACAACTGAGATAATCCATCCACAATACGAGGTTAGTCATTCATATACTGCTGCATGGGCTGTAGTTACATCGTAAGGGTTTAAAACTGAGCTTTAAAATGAACAGTGGTGGTAAAAACCAAGAGAGGCCGACAGTGATCACTGACTGTTTTTAGGGGCTTGTTCAGATTAAATAGAACAAAATACAAAACATGTTAAAAACACAATAATAAACACACCGTAGGTTGGACCTGGAAGCAGGCTCATCATCACTTAAAGACCAGATAGCAGTGTTGCCAGCTTAGCGAGTTTGTCGCTATATTTAGTGAGTTTCAGACCCCCTTAGCCACTTTTTTCTAAGAAGCGACTAACAACAAATCTGGTGACTTTTTCTGGTGTTATTGGAGACTTATGATGACACATATCGCTCTTACTCTCAACAAGCAACAGGTGCTGCCACAGGTGCAGGTGGGCAACAGGTGGGCACCTCGCCCGTGCCAAAGCGCTCACAGGCAGCGGGTAGTCCTCACGGAATGACTGAAGTAATGTTGTTAAGTCCTTAAAGTCATATTCTTTTATTGTCATGACTGTATTTGAAGCTATTTTTGTATGATACCTGATTTATATGGAATATGGCTGAAGTAAACTAAAGCCTAAAATACTTAGTCAGTCATTTGTTTAATAGTAATTTAACATTATATAATTCACATATAAAACTATGAATTGTAATTTTAAATGGTTTAAAAGCAGGTAGAATAGCATATGTAGGCAAGTATACTTCTCCTTTTATCAAGAAGCAAAGACAAAAAGGGGAACAAAAGAAACAGGGCAGGGTTCGGTGGTTGAATCATCCATCCCCACCAATGCCACAACCAAATCTACGCCCTTGGAGGAGTTGGCAACACTGCCGGATATTTAGTTGTCTGCTTCTCTCTGGGCTTTGCACAGCTCTGACTGCTAGCTAGCTAACTAGCTAAAGTCAGCCATGTAGATAATAATAATGGATTGCATTTATATAGCCCTTTTCAAGGCACCCAAATGCCACTATTCATTCACTCTCACATTCATACACTGGTGGAGGCAGCTATGGTTGTAGCCACAGCTGTCCTGGGGCAGACTGCCATATCGCGCCATCGGCCCCTCTGGCCAACACCAGTAGGCGGTAGGTGAAGTGTCTTGCCCAGGGACACAATGACCTGGACAGAGAGCCCGGGGATCGAACCGGTGACCTTCCGGTTACAGATACGCTTCTCAACCCCCTGAGCCACGGTCGCCCCATAACTGGGAAAAGTGAAAACTTCATGGTTCTACTGATGTATAGAGAGGAAGAAATAATTTTAGGACTATAAAAACTTCCATAATAATACTTATGCTCCACGGTTGCCTTTACTGTACACTTTAAAGGGTTTCAGGAAAAGTTACACAAACTCTCGTTTTAGCCTCAGACTATCCTGGCTCGTGCTAGCAAATGCTAATGTTAGCCTCTGATTTAGGCTGCTAAAGTACAGACTTTTAGCTAGCTGACCAGGATAGACTAATTTGGTGGTTAACAGACTGAAGTCCAACTTTTGTTGAAAATTTACCCACATGGAAAAGATAAATATAACTCTTATAAAGTTTGTATCTGTCTTGTGTGAAACTTGTATGAAAAGCATACAAGAGTGAAAACAGATATAAGATCCCTTGAAAAATTATATAAATGAAACTTGTGTGTTTTGGATACTAAAACAATAAATGAAAGTAATGAGAAAGTGGCCACTTTCATGAGTAAATCATGTAAGTTTTTACTGTTTCTTTTCCATGTGGGTTATGTAGTGCTGAGCATGTCATTTCTGGTATTGTGGGATATTTTTGTGACCTTGTTGAGCTAATGTGGTTAAATCATAACTATATCTTGATTGAAGCATAATATAAGCACTGTGCTGGTGTGCAGGGCTGTGATATGCCTTATGGGGATGCTGCTAAAATATATAATTGTCTATATCACACTTTTAGCCTAATAATGAGCAGAGATATTTGCATGTCTTCCTTCAGATCCTTAGAGATTATTTGAGAAGTGGATCATCAGCTTTTACTAAATGAAACACCTTTTACCTGTAAGCCTGGTTTAGTAACCTGTCCTAATAAATTTGTGTTGTATTTCTTATAAGGGGCAAAGTGGTGTCAGCCCTGTGCTGAGAGGGCTGTGCTCATCCATCCGCCCTGTTCTAACAAAGACACGTTTCAGGAACACCTGTAGTTCCCTTTTATTCATATAGCATCAGTGAACAAACACACGTGTTACTGTAAGGTGAAGACCCCACAGAGTTAATGCAGGACAAACGTTCACTCCGATTCATTGATGAAGTGAATGCAGGACTACATGTGTGTCCTTCTCATGAGTGGACACACATGGATGTGAACCACACGTGTTTGGCTGAGCCAAAACACCCGCAGCAGTGATTCGAACCTAAAGTACTCTGGATACTGTTACTGTACAAATACTATTACATGTTTGTTGGTCAGGTGTCCTGTAGGAAGAAAACACGTGAATGTGCATGAACGCGTTTACATGAGGACAAAGTGACTTCAAGGGAAATACAAATCTTCACATTTTGATGTCTGTCAGTTATTTTGTTCATGAATCGGCTGTTTAGTCGTTCTAGGATGAGATGGATGCTGTCATCATATTTTAGGATAGTTTTTAAGGTGAAGAGAGTAAAAGAATATTTCACTTTAAACGTGCCGATGTTGTTGTGGACTAAGCTCAGATAATTATAGGTTGTAACTGCATAGTATGGTTAAGGATATAAACATTAAGTCTAAGCTCTTCCTCTCCTGTCCGTCTTTCTGATCTGTCTCCATCTCTGAGTGAACGTAGCTCTCACCTTTAGCTTTAGCACACACTGTGAGACACACTGTGAGACAAACTGTGTGTTTGCTGATGTTTGTTGAGCCGATAGAAACGTTGGAGAAACATCCTTGATGCTCTTTCCTCTTCTGTAGAAACTAGAAGCTGACGACATACGTACGCCCGCTTTAACCCAAAGTATAAACACTATAAATGATACCGTTGAACCAAAAGTAATGAGTCTGTTTTGAAAAGTCAAGGAGTAGAAAGTAGTGTTAACATATAGGCAGTAAAAAGTTGTCAGAAAATACTGAAGTCCAGATACCTTCTACGTAAGTACAGTAACAAGATCCTTCAGTTTATCTTCACAGAGGGAGAAATGTTAAAGCTCAGAAATCTGTTTCAAGCAAGAATTACAAATACTGAGCATAACGAGGTACAGCCCATCATGTGAAGCTCTAACTTTAATAATGCCACAGAGATGAAGCTGGTCTTTAGGGTCTTGGTCTCACTCTGAATCTTAATGCAGGCTTCATCTGTGGTCATCCTGCCTCGATGGCAGGAGAGCTGACCTCAGAGCTGTGCTTCTCCTGAGCTTTCTCTTTGGCTGTCTGCGCCTGAATGGAAGGACAATGTTCCTGCATTGAGGTACAGCAGAGCAGCAGTGTTTGTTTTAACACACGTATCCCCGACAAAGTCCTGCCAGTACTGGTCAGCCCGTGTGCAGCGCCACCTTCCTGTACAGCACTAGCACACACCTCCATTCTCTGCTAGCAAAGCACCGTTGGAAAGATAAGCAGCTGACGGCTCAGGGCTGTCTGGCCTCCGTTGTCTCTGTTGGTGATCTAGAGCAAAAGAAAAATGTGTCAGTCACAAACCAGGACAGCAGGGGGCGCTCGCCAACTTTTGTTCAGTGTTAATGATGCTGCTGTGACACTAAGAGCACTCTGGCTAACGTGTGCGCAACATTTTTTGTAATAAATTAAAATTTTGATGTTTACATATTAATATCAGCTGTCCATAATTATTGTTCGACACAAAATCAGATAATTGTATCTGCTAAAACTGTAAAAGAACAACATTCAGAAGCTTACTTACATTTCTTGTAGCCAAAGGCTGCGAGTACTATCAGTACTACAAGTACGATGGCTACTATAAATACTCCAATCCCACCCGTTTCAGCCACAGGCAGACCTTCACCTGTAAATAAGCAGATTATGTTGCATTTGTGGGTGATGCACAAAGTTATTGTGACTGCATGGATCATGAATGTAGTGGAAATGTAGTATAAATGTAAAGTCATAAATAGTAGCTTCAGTTTATTTGGTGTGTAAGTAAGTTAGCTGTGATGTGACAGTAATGGACAACAAATAAAACTGCAGCTGATCAGCAGCTCTGCTCATTTCAGCAATGCAAGTTGTCAGCTGGATGCTGATTAATGGTGATGTAACCCTCTGTATACCTGCAGGCAGGGCTGCAGTTGCTCCCACAGTCTTGTTAGAAGTTGGGTTGTAAACGTTGCAGGTCACCGTCTTTGACCCCGTGATGTTGGCTGTGCTGATGACGCTGTAGGTGCCGTCTTCCTCCTTGTGGATCTGCAGGGTCAGAACATCAGGTGGTTCCAGTGCACGTTCATGTCCTTCGTGGTCGGTGGAAATCCATGCCAGTTCAGGTTCAGGAAAGCCCCCCTGTGTTATGCAAGTTGCTGTCATCTTCTTTTGGTTGATCTCGATGTTTGGCTCCTTAAAATTAGCTGTAAATATTGTAAATATGTATTAATGACATATATAAGATAACAAGTTTGATGTGCTGTAAAATGACGCAGATACCAACCTGCTACATGAACCATGGTTTGGCAGAGTTTGTCCTTGATTTTTCCTGCGTGGTTGAAAACGACTTTAAGGGACTTCAGGTTGTCTTCATGCATCAGCGGATCGATGATAAGGGACAAGTTTCCAGATCGTAACTGATCAGGAAAGATTTTGGTTCTGTTTTTAAATGGCAAGCTTTGATGTTCCAAATCCTCCTTTCCATTCCTGTAATAGTGGAGCATTTCAGTATTGTTTTGGTTCTGCCAATAAATGCTGACTTTCTGTGGATCAAACTGTTTGCTGAGTGTGCACTGCCAGAGTAATGGCTCTCCTCTGGTTCCATTAGTTTCAGAGGAAGCTGCCACCAGTGGGAACCCATAGAGAGCTGCAACGAAACAGACAAAGGTTCAGTCAGAACGAACAAAACAAAACAAATTTCCCACGTGTGGGACTAATAAAGGTTATCTTATCTTATCTTATCTTAAACCATAACCGCCATTCATCATAGTCGCTCCTTTGGCAGTCTGAAATCATGCAACCTGTCAGCCGTCCAACTATTAATGAAAATTATAACAAAGTTTTCAAAACAAACGTGGTAATAGTGAGACAATACAGAGGCAACAAGGCGCTAACGATGTGGAAACAATACGTTAATTTCTAAAGCACCAACCCAGTAAGACACTGTATGACCAGCGAGCTCAGATGAGTTCTGTTGACATTTTGTAACTGGATAAAAACCAGAAACTGAAGGTAATGATGTATGCACAAATACTTATCAGGCAACACCAGTTAGTAATGGTGCACTAATGTATGTGTAACAACACAGGGGCGTAATTTCCAATAATCAGACCCAGCCAATACCCCCCCCAATAAAATTATGAATTATCTTGCATGAGTAGGCTATTGAATTTATTTACTCATTTCAGTTATTATAATCAAAATAGTTGCATGTTTAATCATCCGGGAATTTACCCAGATTTATTTATTTATTTATTTAGACAGACATCTTACCCCCCACCCAATGCTCAGCACAAAGTTACACCCATGTACAACACGACAAACCTGTTCATAACATGGTAACAGCCATGAATAATAGTTTTCATTTAACAATTTGGTGGAAAGATTCAGAAATCATAGTATAATGAACAGCAGTACACGAGAACTGCAGTATATCAGTAACGTGTTTTATGATTATTTCATTTTCATGATTTTATTAACTCTAACAAACGTAATAGATCACAGTGTGAGCAGTTTGTCACATTCAATAAATTTCATTGAACAAAAAATGAATGAATGTTTGTTTGATTGGTTAACTGTATCTTTAAGAAGCAGGCGCCGCGCTTTAATACATCTTACTTCCCACTATCACACAGCATAGTGCTGTGGAAACGTCAAAGCTTCCTCTCGTACTGACACACAGAACAACCAACCAAACAAAGTTATAATTTAATCATTTAATAATAAATAAATAATTATTAATAACCACGTTTTTTTAAAGCTACAGCCTGTTAGCAGCAGCTAGCTCCAGGCCACTGAAAGGTCACAAGCAGAATGGCTGAATCATCACCTCACTGCTTCACGCTGACGGATTTATGAAAGTAAAAGTGCAATAAAGTCAAAATCAGACCTACCGAAGAAGAAATAAAAGCTTTTCTTCTCCATCGTGAACGAAAACCCACTGGTTTGTCTCAACACGGCTGCCTGCCTGGCCACACCTGATGCCTACGATTTTTCTGCCACTGCGTTTACGTCACGCTTGCTCCGCCCTCTCAGGGCGGGCCTGATGCAAAACTTCGACTGCTGGGATTTTGTGGTCAGACACCATCTCCAGCTACGAGACAGATGTCGACTCTGATCTGCTTCATTTCTCTTTCATTAAACCTGTCAGCGCTCTGAAAGAGGTGTAGGTGTTGTTATAAGGCTGTTATTAACCCGTAATTACATTTGTCAGATTTCACCAACAGATTATTTTTTTCACTTGAAAATGTCAAAGAATACTTTAGATCTTTAAGGTTCAATAACTAAATCACTGAAAAAGCAGCTTAGGGGTGTGTGTGTGTGTGTGTGTGTGTGTGTGTGTGTGTGTGTGTGTGTGTGTGTGTGTGTGTTGGGGTGCCAGGTTGGTGGTAATGCTCCCTCTGTGGGTTTCCTGTCAACGTTTTGTTGCTCTATTACTGCCTGACTTGAAGTTCTTTCTTTTGTAAATAAAAACCTGAGAGACAAAACTCTGGATTAATAAAAGTTTGCTGTTCCTCCAACCGTCTGTAGTACAAGCTGTTAAAGAGCAAGAACAAGAAGGACTCTGCCTACCTGCTGCAGTAAGTCTGTCCTCTTTGATGGGTAAAGCTGACGTAGCTCCTCGAATATTTTCTGTTGTTCTTAAATTCAAGTTTACATGAACTGCACGAGTTAATCACACAGTGTAGAAACTGCTGTGCTTCTGTTTCAGTCGCTCCCTATAAGAGGAAGTGTTGCAGCCACTCCTTCATGCAAACAATGTGAACAGACTGGTACGTCAACTTTGTGTGTTTAATTTAAAAAAGAAAAGGTGCCTTATTCTCTGCATGTTTAAGTCAGTCTGAGGTGACTTGTTTGCCTTGCAGCAGTTTGAAGGCTTCTGTCTCTAGAATGAGAAGACGGGTTCAGCACGGGTTGGGGAGGGGGGCACCGTGTCATCAGACTGAACCAAAGCCAGGGTCTAACTGGTTAACTGGACTGTGGTTGGTCAGTGTTGCTTGGTGATGGAGCAGAGAAATTAAAACTGAGCTCAGTGTGGAAAACGATGCTTTAAGGAGTTCGTGAACTCAGAGCGAGGGGGAATTCAGATATTACAGTGAGGGAAAAATTCACTTCCTCCTGCTAAATTTGTAAGTTTGTTCACTTCCAAAGAAACGAACAGTCTCTAATTTTAGTGTATGTTTTATTTGAATAAGACAAAATAACATGACAGCTCTTTGGTCTTTCCCGAGGGACTGTACTGGGTCCTGGTGTTGTTGTTGTTGATGTGTGGCTGGCAGCTGCAAGGCTGCAGCCAAGTGCGTTGGAGTGTACAGCAACTGGAAATAAAGACATGTATTCTGAATGTGTTACAATGTGGTTGGGTCCAACATGCATCTACAGTGGTGCTGATAGCCAGGAGTGTGGCGTGGTGGAACCAACACGGGGCCAGCCAGTGGGACCAGCTGCAGGACCGGTCTAAGCACCGGATGCAGCTAATAGAAAGTCTGTCAGCTCCCCATGGAAGTGGCCGGTCTCTACAGTGAGGCCTGCATCGACACTGCCTACCTGTGCACCCATACCCACTCCTCCAGTGGGAGCAGGTAGTGGCCGGCAGGTTTCTGTTCCCCAGAGGAGGGCGGCTGTGGTCGGGTCCGTCATGCTTCTGTACAGCCTTCCTGAAAGCTTTCTGACAATAATAGGAGGCAAAAAGAGTTCTGACAGTCTTTTCTTCTGGATCAGGTCATTTTGCTGTGTGTGTGTTTGTGCATGTGTGTGTGTCTGTGTGTTAAAGTGTGCAGTGAGTGAGTTTGTGTCTGTAAGCATTTACAATGAAGAAAAACGTATCAGCGTTATGAAGTTTGCCCTGTGCTTTGATGCTGCTGAAAACAAACGTTATGATCAGGGATGTCAAACATTAGGTTCGGGGCCAGAGTTGGTCCGACAAAGACTCCGATCTGTCCCGCTGGACGGATTTGGGAAATATGATGCTGGACAAAGAGTTTTGTACTTGCATATCAAACAAATCTTACATCTCTTCTAATAATAATGATAATAATAATAATACAATTTATTTAATAAATCACCTTTCAAAACACTCAAGGACACTGTACACAATCAATAACAACAACAAACATAACAATTTACAAAATAATAAGGATAAAACGTTGAGCAAATAAATGAAAGTAGCAGGATGGAAAATGCATGTGGAATAGACTAATGTGAACAGGTGAGTTTTGAGTCTGGACTTAAAAAGAGGGAGGGAAGTGATGTTTCTTATCTCAGAAGGAAGAGAGTTCCAAAGACGGGGGGCAGAGCAGCAGAAAGCCCTGCGCCCCACGGTGGCTAGCTGGGGGGAAGGGATGGTGATCTGAACCAGGTCAATGAGGTATAAAGGCGAGATATGGATAGCCTTGAATGACATCGGTGGTGTCAGACTGAACAACAGTGTTAGCCGCCCTGGGCAGACCGGCTAAAACACTGTGGTCAGCAGTCCTGTCAAAGCTCCGTGGGGAATGACGAGAGGTGGAGCAAAAGGATTGTATTGGTTTAGAGTTGTCATGATGAAACGTCTTGATGCTCAATCAGCCAAGTAAGTAAATCTCCAAAAGTTGATTCTGTTCATCTGGACGTTTTCAGCGGGAGAAACGTTTTGTCACTCATCCAGGTGACGTCTTCAGTCTCAGCTGACTGCAGGTCTCAATCTTATCAACAGTACATTTGCATAATGACTGAAACCAGCCCACTGAAGGAACAATGGGCTGGGAGGTCAGTTCCTTAATCATAATTATGCAAATGAGTCCCATTCACAGAGAGTTGGAGAATGGCTGCAATCACAGCATGTAAGATGGTGACAGATGTACCCTTAGGCCCCTCCTCAATTCAGAGATGGTCTTTCCCTTTTCTCGTAAATGGCCTCCTTGACTCCGCCCTCAAACCAGCGTTCCTCCCTGTCCAGGATGTTACATCCTCATCATTGAAAGAGTGTCCACTGGCCTGTAGGTGTGAATAGACTGCAGAGTCCTGGCCTGACGAGGTGGCTCTTCTGGGTTGTGCCGTCCTCTTAGCCAGAGGTTGTTTAAATTCCCCGATGTATAAATCCTGCCAATCCTCCTGCACTTAACAGCGTACACTCTGTTACTCTGTGTGTGTCAGGGGACCCGATCCTTGGGGTGGACCAGTTTTTGGCGCAGCGTGTTTTGGGGTTTAAAAGCCACAGAGACCTGGTGTTTAGAAAAAATGTGTCTCAGCTGCTCCGATACGCCTGACACGTACGGGATCACTGCAGGTTTTTGCTTGGGCAGCGGTTGTCCTTCTCTCCTGGATCGGCTGGAGCTTTCTTTGACAAAAGTCCAGCTGGGATAACCACACTTACTCAGGGCCTTCTTGATGTTCTTCTGCCTCCCTGGCTGCTGTGTCAGTGGGGATGGTGTTCGCTCTGTGTTGTAGCGTCCTGATGACGCCCAGTTTGTGCTCCAGTGGATGATGAGAGTCAAATCTTAGATACTGATCCGTATGTGCAGGTTTACGGTACACGTCAGCTTGTAGATGTCCCCCATTACTGATGGAAATCTCACAGTCTAAGAAGGCTAACCTGCCACTGTTCATATCCTCCCTGGTGAATTTGATGTGTCGGTCCACCGAGTTAATGTGATCCGTGAAATGTGGTACATCCTGATCTTTGATTTTCACCCCGGTGTCATCCACATACCTGAACCAATGGCTTGGTGGTGTTCCAGGGTAGGATAGCAAAGCCCTCTTTTCCACTTCTTCCATGTACAAATTGGCCTCGATGGGTGAAACTGGGAGCCCATGGCACACATGTTTCTGCCTGTAGCACTGACTCTTGTATGTGAAGTAGGTGGAATGAAGACACGTGTTGTACAGGGCTCCTCAATGGACTAACTTTTTTCATAATTTCATTGCTCCAAAACTAATGAACTTTTAATAATAGTACGATAACACGCCCGTGTGCTGCTCTGAGGCACTTTTTACATCTTCAAAGCTCCGTTGTACGAAATATGAGCAAAACTAGATCGGGGAAAGAGCAGGCCGCAAAAGCCTCGGACCATGCTGAGGACAGACCGGAGGCACCATCCCATGACATGAGTGAGATTATGAGAGCTATTGCTAGCTCTGAAAAGAGGATATTGGACCGTATCGATTCAAGCACGAAAGATTTAAATGATAAAATAGACACAATCAAAGAAGATCTGGAGAAGCAAGAGACCCGTTTGGAAAGTGTAGAGTTTGGTTTGAATACTTATTCAGACCGGACAGTGGAGTTGGAAAACGAGGTTAGCAAGCTGAAATCGGACCAGCAAGTTGGACAACATCGAGGGGCGACAACGCCGGTGCAATGCACGCATTGTAGGGGTGAAGGAGGGCTTTGAAAACACCGGGAAACCCACGGCAGTTATTGCTACAATGCTGAAAGACATACTGGGCCTCGATTTTACTCCGATGCTGGACCGCGCTCATCGAAGCTTGGGTCAACAGGGAAACTCCCCCAGGGCGATCGTGGTGAAGTTTCACTATTACCAAGAGAAGGAAGAGGTTTTCCAGAGGGCCGCCAAGTCGCAGCCGTTGCTGCTGCAGGACATGAAGATAAGCATTTTTCCTGATTTTACAGCAATGGTGGCAAAGAAACGAGCTGCTTTTATGGAGGCTAAACGTTTGCTCCGAGGCTGCGCTCGCGTTAAGTTTGGACTTTTGTTTCCAGCTGTTCTCCGCATCACTTCACCTACGGGACAGGACAATCGTTTCACCGACCCAGCGGCTGCAATAGACTTTATCAAAAAAGACTTACTACGGCCGTGAGAGGTACAGGCGAGTGAGAAGAGATAAGTTGGACTTCACCAGGGCTGGACTGGGACAAAAAATCGGCATTTTGACTAGAGACCGGCCCACCAAAAATGTGACGTCATTCAGGGGTAAAACCGCAAAGGATTCTGGGAACTTGTGGCAAGAGGTACTAGCGCACGCAGGCTTTCAATTGAACTCAGTTACACAGCGATAAAAAGAAACACAAACAATGGCAAGAAGCTGTTGTATTATTAACCGCAATAGCCGGCGTTGTGCCAAAAACTGATTGCTCGTATTTAAATTGCTATGAGTAACTTGTTGGGCTATAATATGTGAAACATATGTCAAATGCATCCCTCATGGATGACATGAAGTCATCTCTCCATCTCTCTCTGCTGCTCTTCTGTCTCCTGTCACAGACTTCTCCACTTTAGATGATAAATCAGCCTGGTGCAACATGTAAGGATTGGCACAATTTGTTAAGATTTTGGGGAGTTTGAGAAACTAACCTTAAGCATAAAATAAAATGTACTATCAGTAACTTCATAGCACCCGCCCAGCAGTATATAAGCTCCGTCATGCTAGCTAGTAGCAGTACCAGTTATTCTAAGCGCCTGTAAAAAGTCAGCACAACGAAAACAAACTCCAACTAAACTTGGTTTATATCTGACACAGACAGACAGCAGGTCATAACTTCTTACCTGAAGTTCAGTTCCTCTGCCACTATGACCGGCGGCCGCCTCGCGTCTCTCCTCCTCTTGCCTCCCCTTTCCCTTATCCACCTGCTGGCCTCCACCACTTGCTGATGTTGCTAAATCTGTGGAAGCTATGCCATAGCTACCGCCAAACAATTCAGTTATTTTTACACATTTGGCAGCATCTGCCTGAAGGGCTTGTTTCTTTTTTACCCTAATT